CTTTTTTTTATTTCACAGCTTAGTCAATTTATGAGGGGACTGATAGGGCAGGCCAGGCTGTTTAGAAACACGCTCAGATCTTAAACTGCTGAGCACCTACTGCCTTCCTGCCAGTAAATCCACTCTGTATCTCGCAGGCTTAGCCTTTGTTTTCCAAGAAACATCAAGGTACTGAAAATTTTTTAAAACTCAATTCCCATTTCTAATCAGCGTGAATGAAGTTTTTAAAAATGTTTCAAATTTTAGGATTAAACTTGAAATAATATGAAGTTAGCTGAATTAAAACCTCTCTGCAGCTGAGAGACAGGCTGATACAGTTGCTAATCAGCCAAAACCCAGCCTAACAAACATTTAGACCCAGAAGCAAAGACATGCATGTAAGTGTTTGCAGGATTAACACTCCAAGGTTTTCCTGGGTTGTGTATAATTATGCTCAGTGTTGGGAGAGCCTCCTGTCCTGGTAATATTTATATTTTCACTTGCCTGTGATCCCCCTGTGACATCTCTCTCTCTGTGGGGGTGGTTGACTGTGCAGAGCTCAAAGACAGCTTGGGAAGATGTGCTGCCCAGTGAAGGGTCTGCAGACAGGACTCCAGGGTTTTGGAGGATGCTTTGCATCAGCAGAGTGGAGCTGCTGAAATTTTGGAGGCCATCAATGCCAAACTATCTGCCATCAGAGCAAATGGAGCTGCAACACAATGTAGAGAATCATGGAATCGTTAAGGTTGGAAAGGACCAAAAAGATCATCAAATCCAACCTTCAACTGAATACATACCAGAATATTTGAATCCCCAGATCTGCTTTATCTGCAAAAGAGAACTATTAAAGATGAAAAGAGGACATTTTCCATGATCCTCATCCCTTTTGAACTGACTGAGAGGAAAAGAACGGGATGTGGAGGCAGCCAGAGAAGACCTGTTGGGTGGCAGTGGTGAAGGAGGCTCGGTGAGTCCCTAAATAATTGTGCCCCAATACCTCACTGAAGTCCAGAAAGAAAGAGGAAGAGCAGGAAGATATTTATGTCCAACACATGAAGAAAAGCCTCCATGTTCACACAGCACTGAAACACTTGTTGGAGCTGAGGACAGCCCCAGGGGTGGGTGGAGAGCAGAGCCAGGCCTGTCAGAGCCCACACCCCTCTGCCAGGCCAGTGCTGGACCCTTCTTTGGAGTGTCCAGTGCTTGGAGTTGAGCTCTGGAGCGTGTTCAGCCTTTGCTTATTTGAGACAATGAGGAGAATGTGCCATTGAGGAGCTGAAAGGACGGCTCGGAGTTCTTGTACCCAACGGGTTGGACTGGGCTAGAGGAAGATGTCCCTGCCCATGGCAGGAGGTGGAATGAGTTGGGTTTAAAGTCCCTTCCAACCCAAACCATTCTGGGATTCTGTGATAGATGACTCTCTACCTTTCTCTGTAACTTCTGTGGGCCTCAGGCACACATCATTCCTTCTTGTCCCAGTTTACTCTTCACACTGGTTTTATGTGCCCCCTTGCAAGTCACTGGCTGGAAAAGCCTCCACAAAAAGCTCTGAAGTTCACCCAGCACCTGGGATCATGATTTGCACCCATCTTCCCATAAAGATCAACTGATTTGTTCATTATATATATTTATAAATTAAGTTTTTACTTTTAAAACCCCCATAGATTAAAGTTCAATTGCAGTTTAAGGACAGGTTCAGTGGGAATTGTGTGAAAGAAGATTTAATTCCTGGGTTTCCATCCAGCACACCTAGAAAATAGATCAGAAAATTGCTCGAGACAGTTGGAGTAGCTCATGGCAATCAGTACATTTTATTTAACTCTCTCCAAAAGGTCTTTTCTGATGTCAGTGCTGAAAACACAGTTTACTCTTCCAGCTGTGGTCTGATGTTTCCAGTCATCTACAGAAGGTAATGACTGCAGATTAGGGGTTTCCACACTCTTTCAGTTGTGCAGAAGAGCAAAACCCTTCAAAATCAGCCTTCTGATTACTTTTGCTAGGAAAGATTTTATCTTGGTCATTAGCCAGAGTGGGCTCTGTGTGTCACATGGTGTGATGCATCTTTGCCAGTTCTGTTCTTTCCTTATCCTGTTTTTGGTATCACACCTCCTGCTTTACTAAATTTCTTTGTCCTCCTGAACTAGAAATGCTGTGCCCACCTATGAAGTATTTTGGGATGCTACAGTCACCATCCCCTACAGCTTAATGTAAATATGAGGGGGTTTCAGTATTGTTTTGAAATCCAAGTCTTATCTCATTCTAATGCTAAGATCCTTACATTCTTCTACTAAATGTTCAGAAGGAAATTAAGGCACAGGTCTGAGTTGGCTGCCAGATGCACTGGAAAATTAAACAAGAAAGAAAATAAAAGAAGTTCGTATCAGGTCATTTTCCCAAATTGTTCATCAATCCAGAAATGATGAGGCAATGCCTGTTAACCCCCCCATATTTTGAGGTTAGACTGAATAAGGAGCAGTACTTCCTTGGTCAGCCTGTTCCAGAGCATCAGGAGAAGCTCAAGGAAAGAAAGCATTGCCTGCAAGGAGCAGCTGCCTGACCATACCTTGGTGAAGCCGTGTTTCCCTCTGAGATCCTCCAGGCATTTCAGCTGAAATCTGAAGTACAGGAGTAGTATTGACTATTTAAAAGTGGCAGGAACATCCTCACGTCCCCCTGTTTGGTTATAGCCCCCCTATTACAGTGTTTTGGTGCCTAGAGCCCTGTCACAGAAGAGGCTCAACACGAACCAAGCTCCCCCCATGCTGACATTCTGGGAGCCAGGCAAGGGTAATGCAACTGAAAAAAGTGAATCATTTATGGCAAACAGGAGCAGTTTGATGCAGGTGTGACAAGCCCATGTCACTTTATCAATAATGCACAAGTGCCAAGGTACTTCCTACTTGGATCAATTCTTCCAGACACTTGCTTTGTTTACCTTGTAATCTCCTAAATTTTCAAAAGCTGCTAAACTTTACCCCCATAAAAGACAAACTTATAAAATAATTTATGTAATATAATTTATGATCAAGCTTGACATTGGATTCTGATTCTTCTTGTACTAACTAGTTTTATATTCTCTGTGTTGCATTTTTCTCCCCTCTCAGAAGCAAAAATGCTGCTCGGTCTTTACAATATCAAGTGTGTCAGATTAAAGTGATCTCCCAGTTGTTTTTATTCTAGATCTTAAAATTAACTCGTGCTGGAACAGAAATCATCCAATCAAAGAAAAAAAAAAATAACCAGATGAAAATTTCAACTCAAAAATACTTTTTTTCGACAACGTCCCATGTAGTGGTTCATGAAACAGAAACCTGGTGTAAATTCCACAGTCACAACAATTCAACATTTTATGATTTTTTTTTATTTTTTTTAATGAAGAGAAACAAGGAATCCTTCGAGGAAGTTTGATATTTGACTACCAGTTCCTTAATAAATACAGTGCTTAGCAGGACCCGTGGGAATATTGCCTATGCTAATGAAAGGGCATGAAGTTGACTATTAACAGCTTGTGATAATGTCATCTTGTTTTCCATTTTACTTCCTTGACATAAGGAAGTGAACATTTTTCATTAGAAGTGACAATCTAGATCATATACGTGAAAGGGATGTAGCCAAGAATGAACTGCTTGTAAGGTTTCTCTCCCAAGTGATTATTTTTTTGTGAAATCCAATAAACAGCAGAAATGGGCTTGTTTCATGTATAATGAACTATTGCCAGCAGCTGAGGTCTGCCAGAACTGGAGAGGGGAATTGGATCTTTCCATCTGCACTCTCCTAATTAAAAGCCCAGTTCTGATCCTGTTGATGCAAGGGTACATTCTGTCATTGGAGAAATAAGAGTAGGGGTAAGTTCTTAGTTTGAGAGATCCAAACATTTTGAAAGCGCTGTTTGATACACGTGGGTCACCTCTGCAAACCTCCTCAGGTGTTGAAGAGACCTCTCAGGAGAACTGGTTCCAAAAGCCTCACAGATCCCGCAGGGTCCACCCGTGGGAAACCCACACACCAGAATGCAAGAAAACTTCAAGAAGATAAATCAGATCTCAGATTTCAAGTGAGAAGCCCCCCCCCAACAAACAGAAGCCTGTCCTTAGAGCCTCATTGCACAAAATAGTGTTGGTTTGACCTCTGGTGTGGCTCCACTTCACCTTCCTTTGGTCGTGGTACTCTCAACAGGTCAGGATTTTTTTCCATCCTGTGAGAAAATTTGAAATTAAACCCAAAACTTATTTCATTGAGTCAGTGTTGAAAGCTTTGTGACACAATGTGAAAAAAATGTCCCAGTTCAATTAAAATGCTTTCAGAACAAGATGCCCAGCAGAGATTGTTTTACTGTAAAAACCCCTTTTAGTGTAGCATTAAATTTATAAATAAAATCCGACTTCTGAGATGATTTCAGGAAGCATTTGGATGATCCTCTGGGGCACATGGTGTGACTCTTGGGGATGGACCTGTGCAGGGCCAAGGGTTGGACTTGATAATCCTTGTGGGTCCCTTCCAACTCAGCATATTCCGTGATTCTGTGATTTTTTTAAAAAGTCAAATATGGTCCTTTTAGTGATTTCACCCTCCAATTCCACCTATTTTGTTTTCCTTCCTTCTTTTTTTGAGCTAAATCCTTTGCCACCCCACCCTTTTTCTCTAAAATTTTAGTTTGACTGCTTCTAGTACCATCTGGAAGTACACAGATGAAGTTGCCTCAACAATACTTTATCTCTGACTCCTTCATGGAGAGTATCATTTTAGAGAGCAAACATCCACCAAAATCAATACTTAGAAGAGTAGAGACCTGCTTAGGCCTGCAGATTTATACCACTTCTAATAATAACTTCTGATGTTTGCCCCGCAGGAACTTGCCTGGTTTCCTAACTCATGTCCCTGTGTGGTATCGTGTATTTATGGCAGTTTTTCCGTTTCAGGTACCACATATTTATGGCAGTTTTTCCATTTCAGCTGTCACGTGTTTATGGCAGTTTTCGCCTTTCAGGTATCCTGTATTTATGTCCCTTTTTGCCTTCCAGGGAGCAGAGAGGCCGCGTTCACCTACGCCATCATCGCGGCCGGGGTGGCACATGCCATCACTGCTGCCTGCACGCAGGGCAACCTGAGTGACTGTGGCTGTGACAAGGAGAAACAGGGACAGTACCACAAAGAGGAAGGCTGGAAGTGGGGAGGCTGCTCCGCTGACATCCGATACGGGATCGGATTCGCCAAGGTCTTTGTGGACGCCCGGGAGATCAAACAAAACGCCAGGACGCTCATGAACCTGCACAACAACGAGGCCGGGAGGAAGGTGAGTGACCTCTGCTCTCCATCCCGGGGTTGGAGAGGGTGTCCATCACCTCCAGTGCAGGAGAGCCCAGTGCTTTCATGCTGACATCATTTACAGTAGGCAAGTAGGCACCTCTGCAAGTTAGACAGGCTTGTTGGACCATCTGTCCATCAAATATTTGTCTAAATGTTGCTCTTTACAGCTGTAAAAGGAAGAAAGCAAACAAACATTTTATCTGGGAAGTCAAATGGTACTTATGATAAAAAGCTGCTACTGTGTGGGAGAGCAGGATTCCCGTCAGGTTCAGACATGAACGTCTCACTCAGTTGGAAGGGGATCGTTTGCAACCCCACTGTTCCAGCCCTGCTCTTTGTGCGAGCGCTGCCCCTGCAAGGAGGGAAATGCTGCAGCAGAGGACCCCGGGCTGGCTCACTGCTACACCATGGCACGGAGCTGGGCTTAGCACAGCAAGATTCCCACCCCCTCCCCATTCTTTGGGGCTGAGGAGCTGAAAGCAGCCGCTGCAGAACCGGTGCTGGGGAAGGCAGGAATGCAGTAGCTTCCATGCATGGGTTCCCTGGGGATCCTGGGCACCAAAGGCCCTGGATTCGCTGCCTTGGCCGTGCTCCTGATTGTCAGTGGCAGCTGTTGCAGGTGCCAGACCCAGTGTGATCTGTGCTCCCCAGATCCCTGCGGGTCAGGCATTCCCAGCAAACCTCATGGCAGCCCCAGTGGTGGTGTGGCTCCAGCTGGGAATAGCCAGGGGTGTCTGTGTGCTCCCCATACAGGTACCTCCAACACTGCTTTCCCTGTGGGAGTGACCATTTTGCTGATCACATCTTATGGGAGGAATGTCAATCCTCTGCTTCCTTAGCTCTCTATTTTACCTTCTCCCATTTGCCCTCCTGTGCAATACTCCTGATTTCAGCATTATGTTAGTGTGACTTAGAAGCAAATGGGAGAAGGAAGTTAGGAGCAGCAGTTAATTTGTGGATACTATTTTTGTTGTGGTAATTACCTGTAGGCTCTGAGACATCTCCACTTATGCTGGAGCCAAGCAGATTGTATTGAAGAAAAGCCATTTCCACCCCAAACAAAAGCCCAGCCCTTCTTTAATTTAATGCTACTGTGGTAGTTTTATAGGTGAGGTTGTGGAGTTTACCCTGTGTAGTATCCCAGATGTCCGTGTCTGGCTCTCTAGTGCAAAAACTTGTACTTCCACAGTAGCAAAACTGAATTCTGATAATAACCCAAGGATTAACCATTAATATTTGCAAACGAATGATCTGAGATCTTTATTACTTAGCTTCTGGTAGCTGAAAAGCTTGGTAAAGCACCCACGCCCACAGCCTGCTCTGCCTTACAAGCATAAATCCAGTGAAGTAAAAAACAGCAGAAGAGTTTCAGCTTTGTGGGAAAGCTACTTCCTTGAAAGTGTTTGATAGGTGCTGGCAGTAAAAGATTCCCAAGAAATGACACACCAGCCCACACCAGACTGCAAACATAGATGGAACTGCCTACTGGCTATAAATTTTTTCCCAATACAGACCTCAAAGATACAGACAAATAGAAAAGCTGCATTTTTTTTATTTTCATTCTCACCCAGGTGTGGACCTTGGGTAGAGGAGGGCTATTGGTCCTGGAGCTGGGCTGTGGGAAGGCAAAGCATCCCCTTGAGGACGTGAGCTCCTTGTGTTTCTCACCTTTCTGTGCACAATTTGCTGTCCTGAAAGCTTGTGCCTGGAAGATCCAGCTCTCCTCATTGTTCCCTGGGAGAACAGTGGTGTGTGCTATCTCTGGCCATCTGCCATTTCTCCACCGGGCTCAGGAACTGTTCTGATCTCGAGATATTTCTGCGCTTCTTCCTGTGCCCCTCACAGGGCAAAATGACTGATCTTTGTTCGAACAAAGCTCTGAAACCTCCAGGGGAAAGAAAGAGTAACAGGACTCAGAAGAGGATTGTTACTCTGCTGTCCTGTAGAGAATGAATAAATGATGTTTTTGCTAGAGAGGTTCCTTTCAGGCTTTGCTCTTGTGTGAAAGATCACAGTATTTAAAGACAATTGGCAGAGGGGGCATTATGGGTATTTGGCAAGCCAGGTCTCTCACAACTCAACTCTTTCACAACAAAGACAGTCTTGTTGAGAGGTGGTACTCACTGTTGGAGCAATAGGGATCTTATCAGCCTCCACACAATCTATTTGTGCTGGCTTTCCTCTGGGCTACAAATTCTTATCTAGTTTTGCTTGCCCATGGCTAAGTTTTTGATGATATTTATGCACTTATGAGACAGACTGGCACCTACTAGTCTTCCAAAAATAAACCAGATGTTCAATTCTTATTGATTTGTTACCTCCACCTGTAGACACCACTACACCATTCAAAAGTCAGTCCCCTCTTCTTCTTTGGTCTTGCAATGTGAAGCTGTGCTGGGTGTTGTGCCCACTCACCTCTGAAAAGGTCCTTCTTCAGGACAACAACCAGCTGCAGGGAATTCAGGATGCACTCTAACAAAGCACAGGCCTCTCATTATCTAGTTGAGATGAGAGTCTTCTTAAGCATCACTGGTGAATTCATCTGTTCCATGTTGGTGAGTGAGAGGTGGCAGACTTTGCACTGCAGCAGGCAGGTCTGCGGGGCTTGCTGGGGAAACTGGGCATAGGTAGGACTGCACAGTATAAACCAACAGAGAACCTCCAGGAAAAGCCTGATCCAGGATTTCTGGAGATCTCAGATCAGGACTTTACACCTTCTCACAGTTTGTTTTAGGCAGATGCCTCTCTGCTTCCTGCAGTGCCATCAACAGTCTCAGAACATATGGAATACATGACTCTGTCAGAGCAGAACAGTTATCCAGGGCAGTGGTCATGGCCCCAAGGCTGCCAGAGCTCAAGGAGTGTTTGGACAACGCTCTCAGGGACAGAGTGGGAATTTGGGGTGTCTGTGCAGGGCCAGGAGTTGGATTGGGTGACCCCTGTGAGTCCCTTCCAACTCAGCGTATTCTGTGAATCTACAACCTGTCAGCTCGTTCCAGAAATGAGACAATTGTCAAATGTGGAGGATTATAAAAGTCACAGGTGGAAAACATCCATGTTCCTTTGCTTAACAGCTTTGGTAGTGCAATGCTTGGAAAACAGTGGTGTGCACGCCCAGGATGCATGAGGAGCACTCCCTGAGACCAGCGTGTGGGACACGTCCCCCTTTCCAGCTGCTCCCTCACCACAGACCAAAGCCAGGGATGCCAGCGGGTCCTGCAGCCAGAAGCAGTTTTCCTCACTGTTGAAGGACAGGGCTCTACTCCCTGTTTCTCTCTCTGCCCTGGTGGCAAAGCACCAGGACTCTCTTTTGTAGCACGACTGCAGAGTTCCCAGGCGGGGTGGAAGGGAGGGGGCAGAGTTCAGAACAGGGGTCGCATCCACCCTATGAAACTGCCCCCGAGCAGCCTGAGAAGCCTCACCTCATTTGTCAAACCCATTGGAGAGCAGCTATTTCTGACCTTCAGAAACAGAGTTTAGGGTGTCTTTCCTCTTTGAATTAGTATTTCCTGAAATGCTGATTCACTGCAGGAAGAAGCAAGAGTACAGGGAGAACAGGAGGAGAATTCATAACAGCTGGGTCAGAAAAGAGAGATAAAGCTTCAATTAATTTAAAGGCATAATCCTGATTTGCCCTGCAAACTTCCATGTGAGGGGTTATAATTGCAAGACTGAATTGTCTGTTAGCAAATTTGTCTTCTCAAGTACAAAGTTAATTAAATTACTGTAAGTAACACAATAACGTATGTCTGAGAGATATTTATGCTCCAGGAAATAAAAATGTTATTCTCCAAGTTATCCTGCTAAAAAATAGCAAAGTAGATATTGAAAGGTTCTACATATTTTGGCTGTACATTTTCATTTTGACAGCATGGCAAGGTACATGACCACACTGCTCTCTCCTCTCTTTTCCTGTGACATTGAAATTCCACGAATGGCATCTTGCATCAGCGTTACATCATATTAAGTATAATGCAATATTATGAGTCATTGTTATAAATCATGGGCACAGGCTGCATTAGAAGGCTTTTGCAATTCAAGAGCACATCAAGGTGGATTTTTATTCAGTGTTCCTCTTTGGAGGCAGATGTAGGTGCACTAACTTTGCAATCTCTCTTCATCCTCTGAATCAGGAGCGTTTCAGTTTTCCCCTTCAGCTCTAAGGCTCCCAGAGGATGTGCAGGACGTGCCCAACAGAGCTGCTGCAAATACCAAACAAAGCTCTGAGAACCCAGGAGGTGTTTCTGAAATGGATCACGCAATGATCATAATAGACTGGAGTGTTTAGTATTTTAACCTTTAGGGAAAACTGTAATAACGCTGAAGTGGCACTTGGCTTTTGGAAGGCACGGAGGTCAGGAGTTCTCCCAACCTATCCTGTAAAGCCCACACTTATGACACTCTGCACTTGCTGCATCTCTGACCTCAGGAGGACATTGGTGCCATGAAACTTCCCTGAACATCTTCCTCTTCTTGCATAGTGTGCAGTCACCACTGCAAGAATTAACTATCCCTAGAGCAGACAGCTATTTCTGCCTCATTCCCGACCTTTCTTTTTAACCAGCCTGTTAGCCTGGCTGCCAGAAGCAGCACAGAACACAGGGTCTTGCAGATGAACCTCTTGAAAGGTTGGGAGCATCATGTTAGAAAAGGGACAAGGTTAGAAAGAGGCTGCTAAGCAATTAACATTTATAATTCTGAATATAGGCCTGAAATTCTGGAGATTTAATAGTTCTGCCTGAACTAAATCCTAAAGCTCACAAAACACAGAACTGTTCACAGAATCACACAGAATCCCAGAATATGCTGGGTTGGAAGGGACCCACAAGGATCATCCAGTCCAACCCTGGCCCTGCACAGGCCCATCCCCAAGAGTCACCCCCTGTGCCCCAGAGGATCAGCCAAACCCTCCTGGAGCTCTGGCAGCCTTGGGGCTGTGCCCACTGCCCTGGGGAGCCTGGGCAGTGCCCAACCAGCCTCTGGGGG